AAAAAAGCAAAGTGTTGGTGCTCAATCCACTGCCGAAGCAGAATATGTTTCAGCATCCAATGCTACTTCTCAAGCTATTTGGCTAAGGGAAATATTTGAAGACATTGGTGAAAAACAAAAAAAAAGGACTGTTCTGTATTGTGATAAAAAATCAGCAATTGCAATTGTCAAGAATCCAGTCAGCCATGAAAGATCAAAGCATATTGTCAGACAAGAGAAAGACGAAATTCAGTTGCATTATTGTCAGACAGGAGAACAACTTGTGACATCTTCACCAAAGCACTTCCTAGAGAAAAATTTTGCTATCTTCGAGAACGCATTGGAGTTATCAAGCAAATGCATTAAGGGGGAGTGTTGGAATTAATGCATTAATGTTCAGTCTTCGAAAATTGTCTCTTATTTTTTTCAAAAAGTCTTTTTAGAATTTCGTTGTACATGTATCTAGTAAATTGTGATACATGTATTTAGTTATTTTTGTAAGACTTTTTGTTTTCTATTTTGAGTAGTATAAATTGTGGTGTAGTTGATGATTGTAATCATCTCAAGTGGCCTTAAGTAGCCTATAATAAACTTGAGAATTTTCGAAAGATATTATTTTTCCTTTCCTTCATTACAGAAGAGAAGTACTTTGTATTAGCATTACCCAGAGAAATCCAAGTCACCCTAGCCTTTTGTTTCATTTCATCACACTCTCTTCTATCATAGACCATTAAGCAATACTTTTTTCTCCTTCATTATTAGAGTGATCTCATCTCAGTCTGGATCATCTCCAGCTCATTTTTATAAGTTATAACTTTCTGTCCAATATGCTTGAATTCATCATTATTCAACTACTTAAAGTCAGCCTTAAGTTTCTTCGGATTATATCACACATGTTCATGCTGCCTCCCGCTCTTCTTTTGGTCCAATTTATGGTCACTATAGGAATGAAAATCAACATGATCCTTCCAAACATTGAAAAATCTGAAGGGTGATTTAGGAGCTTGTGACATCAATATCATTATGAACAGACACATTAGGCAGGCCATATATACTCAGTGGATATTTGTTCCCAATTCCACATCCATGCTTCATTCCCCAACATTATATTCTATATATCCCACTATACATTAAAAAATCCTCCTCGCCATTTTAATTCAGTAAGCTAAGTTATGGCATTGCATTATGATTTTAATTTTGAGTGACTATATTTACAAACATTCCCATATTACTCATATATTAGAAAAATCTTGTTTCAACATGCCTGTTTCACTACTCTCAAGGATATTTTTGTCTTTTCAGCTTCATATTGTAGTTACGTGCCTTCTTGCTGTGTTACCATTTATGTCTTTTCAGATCCATGTTATAGCTACGTGTTCTCCTCCAGTGTTATCAGTAGACATCAAAGTTCTTCTCTTTTCTTCAGCGTTCTATCGAGGTAAGGTTCTTCCATGTTTTCATTGAGTTATTTTTGTATCATTTTTCTTTTCATCAAAATTGAAGTCTTCCATTTGGGTCTGCTATTGCTGTTTAATTTTACTTGTGTTTTTGAAGTCTCAATTTTCAATTTGGGTTTGGTGATTATGCTTTCGTTTTTCTAATTTGGAATGTCATGAAATTGCATTCGGATTTTTATTGTATTTTTTTACATGCAATAACTAATTTGGTGTTTTACCTTCGGAATTAACTTTGTGGTTCCTTTATTTTAGTTCTATTTTTTTAATCACGATTCTTTTGAACTTCCTTCCTTCATATATGGGCTTTCTATCGAAATCAATTTTCTTGGCTCTTGTGGGTTTCTTTTGGAGTTTTTGTGGGTTTATTTTGGAGTTTCTTTGGATCTTATAGGCAATGAAATTAAAAATTTTCCCAATAGATTCTGCTACTACTCCACCGACTTATGTATATAACTAGCGTTGCCATACTGTATTGGTTTGGTTTTAGTATATCTTTTATCTCTTTATGATGTTTTAAATAAAAGAAATTGCAACATGTGAATTTTAGTTGGAATAGCCTAGCGACTGAGTAATTGCTAGGGGAAATTGAAAATCGAGGTTGGAATCCCAATAGAGAAATAACTGAAAAAGTGCAGAAATTTCTTGCATCTACCTAAGCTTAGTTGATGGAGTTACTCGATAGTTGTGTTGCTATGTCCCGACAGAGGAATTTTGAAAAAGTGCAGAAATTTCTCGCATTTACCTAAGCTGAGTGGATGAAGCTATTCGAGATTTGTGTTGTTAGGAGCTTAGTGAACGAAGTTGCTCAATATTTGTGTTGGTAGGCAACACTAAGTACCCGGTGGATTGGTCGGGGTTCACACAAGGTAGCCTAAATACAACACTTATATTGCTCAAGTGAAGTTTATAAGAGTGATTAGCTTATTTTATCTTTACTTTGTCATATGAGGTTACTTGGTTCTGTAAATTTTCTTGCTCTTTTGTCACTAACTTAAAAAAGAGTTATCTTCTTAATAATCTTAAAGAAGTTTCCCAGATTAATAAATATGAAAGGATGTACGAATTGGTAAGATGACAAACTTATTGCAGTCATGTTAGTTGATTCTTGACATTTCAGTTACAGACTTGACGTTTAATTTTTCAATGCTACAATTTCTCTTTTTACTATTAAATTTTGATTTCTGATGGTGTGTGGCAAGTGAAGTCATTTAGTTTATGCTTTTTGTGGTTTCTTTTTCACAATTTATTTCTAGGATGCAATTGACATTGTGCCTTCTCATATCCATAGTGAAGCAATTGGAGCAGTAGTTAAAGGTATGGACAACAATATTTTTTGAGTCAGTGACCCAGTTCTCATTCCCATCTTTAATATAAAAGATTATATTTCTTCATTTTCTATCATTTAACAACTAAAAGGTGAAAAAAATAGTATTTATATCTCTTTTGAAAAAGTAAGTTAACACGAGTCTATAATTTCTAAAAGTCTTTCCCAATTTTAAGGGTACTATTATATTCTTTCCTTAGTCTTAATTTAAGGTTCTGGATAAAAGAACGGGTAGGTAAAAGACTAGAGTTTTGTTCTTTTCAATTAGCCATTTCCTCTTGCTATATTTGGTAGTGTTAGTTGAAATATTGTTTTTTCTAAGTTTTGATGAGGAAAACATGTTATTCATAAATTACATACAAGTGGTAGAGACTATAAATTTAAAAAAGTTTTATGCTTTCATGCAAAGAGCAAGGATTCAATGCATTGATCTTCGCAATGATTTTTAGATATTGAGAGAAAAATTAGACTGAGGAATGTGCACATCACGAATTTGAACTTTGTTCCTCATCCAAAATGGAGAAAAATATTTAAACGGGATCATGATTATTATTTTTTTAGAAATATACTATGTATGATTATTAATTTTTTTTTACTTGTAGGGTTACTTTTACCATGTTGTCCTTCCTTTGTTGAATCTTATTGCGATAGCATCACATTGCAATGCACTGTTTATATACTTTTGACCAATCAAAGTTAGAAAAGTGCATTAGGAACATTCATTTGAATATATGACATTTCGATTATATTCAGACGGTTTAGCACGGTTCAACTTTTTTTACACAATCTGTAATGGTGTGTTTATTTCAATTTCACTTATATAAGTGAAATTTTGCTTTAGGTTGTACTCTTCTGATTAAAGGAGACGACAAGACATAGAAAATCCATCATTGGACAAGGAAGAAAGGGAAAGAAATATCTTATGAACAGTATGAGGAACAATTACCTAAAATCTTATTCCATGTGCTTATACATAGCCAGATCCCTAAGATTATTCATCGAGACATCGAGTGTGACAATGTGTTTGTTGCTAGTGATGGGAAGCAAGTTACACTTTTGAGATTTTGGGTTGGCTGTTTGTATTATGGATGGTGATTTTATGAAAGAAAAAGAGCCTAAAGGTACCCTTGAATTCATGGCTCCAGGGTGCTACAATGATGAATACAATGAATTGATCGATGTATATTCATTTGGGATGTGTCTTCTTGAGATGGTTACCGGTGAATATCCATATATGGAGTGCAGCAATCAAATGCATATATGAGTGTGCACTGGTGTAAAGCCTGTGTCTCTCGAAAAGGTGAAGGATTACAGAGTGAAAGATATTACAGAGATATTATTGAGAAGTGTATGCTTTCTATGTCTGTTAAGCCGTCTTCAGAAGAGTTGCTGAAAGATCAATTCTTTCTAAACGGTGGATCATTTAATATGCTCTGACTGCAAGCAAATCAACAAGGATTCTTTAGCAAATTCGTTCATCATTTCAATCACCGAGAAGGATATTGCTAGCAACCTACCATTGCCAGTCACTGCACCGACTACTCTAGAAAGCAGCAAACGCAAACTGAAGAAAATCATGACAAAGAAAGACTAAAAAGGTATTCTCTCTACACAACTTCCAATTTTTATCCAATAATATTACATATCCCATTTTGAACCCACTCCTTATGTTTTATTTTTTCTCACACTTTTTGGGCTTAATCTGATAAAGTTCTTCACAAATTTGACTTTTTTCCTCACTAAAGTTTCTTCTTTATACTTTATGTTATGTCATATGTGATTATACTAATGTTTAAATGAAGTTTCTATCTTTAGACTTTAACTTGTTCTTTTGTTTTTCTGATGTTTTTGGAAACTTTTCTTATGTGGATACTTATGTTATTTCATGATCCTTTTGGACTTGAGGATGAATAATGTTGTTTTGGGGTTCTTGGTTGGTAAAATGATTACAAAAATGAGTTTTTGGTGTAGTTGAATTTTTCTGAAGGATTTTGATGATCTATTAGACTAGAAAATTAAATGTGATCTTAGGAAAGTGTCTTGAGTTGATAATTTTTGAACAATTAATAAACTTGTTCATTGTTTGATTTTGATATATTGTTTTGTAATCGATCCCGTGTGAAATCAATTTAAGTAACAATTGTATGTCACTACAACTTACTAGCACGCTTTGCATTCAAAATCCATTAGTTTATGCCTATATTTATGTCTCAATAAATGTCTCATAGTCAAATATCCTATTGATTCTAAATCCAGTGATTGTATGTTAATATCACAACCTGCAGTGATACTCATTTTGATAGCATATATTTTTTCAACACTCTAATTCTTCAACAACTGGTGATTTCCCCTTTTGTTATCAACTTAGTATGTTGTATGGAATGTTTTTTTATAATATGGTTGTCACTATCCTTTTGTCTACTCAACTATTTTCCTTTTGTCTACTCAATTACTATAAATGTTGATGGCGTTCACTTATGCTGTTGATAGCATGGATTTTGCTACCCGCTTCTTGGAAATTGTCAAGTACTTGCATCTTGCAGTCGCTCAAAAATTCTCTGCTGTACTTCACATTTACTCCTCCCTATGATTGAGTACATACTAAATTCATTTTTACTCTTATTTCACAGAATATTTTTCCTCTGGCGCTGAGTAATACTCCAAAATAGTCGAAATGAAATAGCATGTCAACATTCAATGTAAATAACACAACAATAACAACAAACAAAACAACTGTCAACCATATTTACAATATATTTGTGACTCCATATGTTTCCATGTATGCATTATCCTTGCGAACTCATAAAAATTTTACAACGTTGGGCCCGTGCTTACACGGAAAACTCTTACCTAGTATATATATATATATATATATATATATATATATATATATATATATATAATATCCTGCTTACATCATTGGAAAGATATGATGCAACTGATTCCAGCAACAGGTAATTTGATGATTTTTCAAGCTGGCAAACACTGGAGCACATACAAAGTGTTTTTTTTAAATATCCGCTTAATAATCCATATTCATATTAGAGCTAGACTAAATTTTAATTTGCACCAAAAAATCTCATGTTAAAAATGAAACACTCCATTAAGAAGACTTCTGTTATATTCTAGGTGTTTTGATGATCCTCACAAATGCGAGGACCTTGTTCCTGGTAGAGTGCTCTCGTCCAAATACAAATGGGGTACAGTCATAAAAGTTGTCATGTCAGGTGGTAGGTGAAAAGTGCAGTATCCTACACCAATAAGAAGCGCGGATGAGATTGTATGTTTCAGTATCTCACAAATGCAGGGACCTGGTACCAGGCAGAGTTTCCTCCATCAGATACATATATGGTAACAGCTGTAAAGGTTGGTAAGGCGTCAGTGTACTACACCAATCAGAATGGAGGAGGGCGTTTGTCCAACGGATAATAACTCTTTATGTTTATTATATTCGTTCATCAAAAGAAGGAAGTCAGCCAATAAGCCTTTTCAAGAACTTATATAGAAGTTTGCAAGGGAGTTGGTTCCCGCAAGCAAGGGACCTGGTACCCGCAAGACTGCGACATGAAAAGGACGAAAAGACAGCTGTCAGAAAAGCTGACATCTCTGATGCGGTAGGTGCACATCTTTTCCAATAGCAGGCCTTCAGCTAATGGGATGACTTCAACGAATTTGTGGGAATTTATATTATCTCTTTCCAACAAACACAAATTCAAGACTTGGCAAATTAAATTTGGATTTTCTCTGAAAATTCACAAGTTTGAACAGAAGGCCATCTTCAAGGAAGAACATTGCTCAACTCAACAGAAGAACCTAATAGAGTAAAGAAGAATCTTTGTTGTATTTAGAGTTTTGTGTCTATGTATTTACATTGTAAATCTGTTCCTAATCTATAAAGGATTCAGATATTTGTTTTGGGTTTGTAAAAGTCTAAATCAGTTAAGGTTACCTAATTTAGTGGGAAACATTATTTTGTTGATTAGTCAAATTCTAAGTCATATAGAGTTAGGTGGTTTAGTGGGTCGTGTGGTATTCGCTTAGGATCTTCAAGTAATAGGTAGATTACTTAATCGTGAGATTAATAACTTTTTCATACATTGATTGTAACCGGGTTTCACTTTTGCTTGAGAAGATTAGTGAAGACGGTTGTAAATCCTGTGCAACAGGTCATGGTTTTACTCCCTTGAGCAAGGAGGTTTCCACGTAAACTTATTGTAGTGTGTTCTTCATATTGTTTAATCTTCTGCACTGTTTTTGCTGTGTCAAGGGACCTGGTCCATTGACTGGTAGTGGACGCACATATTTCAACAAGTGGTATCAGAGCCGGTGTCCTCTATCTGGTTAACACCAAGAGAGAAGTTCCTGCGAGAAATGGCATCACTACTAGATAAGCAAAGAAATCAGTCTCCCGCAAGATCTCCTCTGTTTGATAGTAAGCTATATAAATATTGGAAGATTTGGATGAGAGACTATCTCATGGCTGAGGACAGTGAAGTATGGGATGTCATATGTGAAGGTCCTTATGTGCCAACTATGGAGGTTAAAGATGGAGAGGTCACAAGAGTCATTCCCAAAACTAGAAAACAATATAATGACTCTGACACACTATTAGTCCAAAAAAATCATAAAGCAATGAAGCTATTGATGTGTGGCCTTAGTATAAATGAATACGATCTGATTTCATCTTGTGAATCAGCCAAGGAAATTTGGGATCTGTTAAAAATAACTTATGAGGGCACTAAGGAAATAAGGAAATCTAAGCTAGATCTCTTTTCTACTCAGTTTGAAGATTTCACCATGAATGATGGTGAACTCATTCATGAAGTGCGCACCAGATTCTCCAACATCACAGATGAGCTCATGTTTCTTGAAGAACCTGTTCCTATTGTCAACCAAGTCTCTAAGATACTGGAAATTCTTCCTAGATCTTGGACAAATGATTTTGTAACTGGAAATGAGACAAGAGAACCTGATGTAATGACGATGCATACACTATTTGAGCATCTTCAAGTTCAGGAGATGCACAGAAAAAATGAGGGGCTCATTCTCAAGGGCAAAGACAAGAAAACTGATCTGGTTAATGAGGCCAATCCTAAGAAAGAAAATAATGACAAGGCTACCAGCTCAAGCAAAGTGTGTGGCATGAGTTATCTGTCTGGTCACTCCATTGGAAACTTTTCTGTGCACAAAGCTGACCACATGACATTTGTCACAGCTGCAGAAGGTAAAGACAAAGAGGGGGACCAGGTCCATCCCAAGATAAGCAGAAGAGAAGTCTTCTTCGGGGCAGTAAAAAGAGAAATGGTTGCATGGGAAAAATCCTCAAGTGATTTAGATGATTTTGAAAACACATATAATGGTTTCATGGCAAAGTCAGACGAGGAAGATTCTGATGAAAAGGTAACTCTATCTTATTTCGAGCAAAACTTGAATACCTTTTCAACTAGTAAGTTGAGAAAGTTGGTTGTTGTATTACTTGATTTGATAAGTGAGATGACAGATGAGAAGGATCTCATAAACAATAGCCTAGACATCTTTCAAGATGGAAAAATTGCTTTAGTTGCCCAAATATCTAATATTAAAAGTTAAATGGTTGTTCTAGAAGTAGAAAATCTAGAACTGAAGGAAAAGATAAAAGGGGCGATTACTACAAGTTTTAAAGAAAAAATGAGGCTAGAAGATTGCACCTGGAGCTTGAGAATAAGCTGCACACTGCTGAAATGAAGACCGAAATTGCATTAGAAAGAAATCTTGAGTTAGAGAGGGACTTGGTCCGTGTAAAAGAGGAACTACAAAAATCTCTCAAATGGACAAATTCCTCTAAGATTCTTACAAATCTTATCGGTCAAGACAACAACAGTAGAAGAGGGTTAGGCTGTGACAAGATGAAATCCTCCTACAATCCTCGAAGAAATAATGTTCCTGATTCTGATAATCTGTTGTTTGAGAATTGTGGTCGAGATGGAAATCTTAAGAAAGATTGTCCAATTTTTGAAAAATTTGAAGGAAGTTCGTCAAATTATTCCAAACAGCAGAAAAAAGCTAAAGAAAGGCATGTGAAGTTTGTCCGATCTGAAAATAATCAAGAAAATCAAGAAAGAGGACCTGGTCTTCATGTTAAATTTGTCAGATCCGACAGTAATATGGAAACAGAGCGCAAGGGACCTGGTCCTCGCTATCGTTTTAGCAAGAACACTTTGCCCCCTTGGACAGGAAGGTTTCTTGTTAAGCCTTTTGACAGTTTTTTGAAACTCTGTTTGAAGTGGGTTCCTAAGTCTAACAAGTGATTCTGGTGCAGAAGAGAGGAAACAGTCAGTGTTTGTTGATAAATAGCAGATGCTCAAAACACATGACTAAGAAGGTTAAAAAACTTCCTCTCTCTCAAGACACTTCAAGGTGGAGGTTTCTCTTTTGGAGAATGGCAAGAAACTCTACATTATTGGTGTAGATTTGTGATGAATGAAATGAAGCTAAGCTCTTATCAGATAATTGTTTTATCACAAACTTGCTCTCTCAGACGATGAGTTTGATAGAAAAGAGATTTAAGAACATGTATATTGCTGATCTGTTTACTGCTCATTGTGATAGTCTCACTAAACTTAATGCTTAAGGTATGAATGCTGAGGTATGATTGAGGAGACATGCTCATGAGTGTTGCTTTGCTGCACAAACCTGTGTCAGGGGACCTAGTCCAAGTATGCATAAAATGATATTTTCAAATGAGAAAGGTTGTGACTATGATGTTAAGGAGAAGCAGATTAGACCTCCTTCAGGCTTATCAGGGGTATACTAAAAATTGTCATGTGTTTATTGATGAGTCTAGAAAATTTTAAAAGTTGCAAGGAAAGAAGTTTCTGGGATAGAAGAGTTGCTTCAGAATCAGAGAGATGGTTTAAATAGTGAGTTTTCTGAAGAACATCCTCATGAATCCAACAATCTCAAAGAAGATGATACAGATGATTAACCTGATGAGGGGCCTGGTCCTCTAGACAATGCTGAACAAAGATGATGCAGTTCAAACTAATAATGTGAATTTTGAAGGTGAGAATGAAGAAGCTAATCAAGCTCAGTTTGAAAGAAGCAAACTTTGATAGTCGGTTCCCCAACAAGCTGATCGGTTGTCCAAGTTGCTCATCAACAATGTATTCAAGAGAGGTAAAAATGTCAAAAACTCTTCTCTTTGAATTAAATATGCAAGTAACTGCTGATCATTCAGGTACATATTGATGATGTCATCTTTAAGGCAATCTTTGAGGTGTTGTGTGAAGAGAAGCTTTGTTAAAAGGCAAGATTCAATTGCTCTTTCATCAACTGAGGCAATAAATGTAGCAAGTGCAGCTTGATGGGTTTAACTCTTGTGGATTAGGAAACATCTTGAAGCTCATAAAAATCTGGCTGAATTAATCAAGATGATGATGGAAATGCTAAAACCTTCTTGAATGGATCCTACCTGAAGCAATCAACTCTTTTAATGACTATGAAAAGGGAGCAGGTATCCTTGCTTTTCGGTTATGTATGTTTTAGCAAATTCAGTTTCTTACCTTTTGTAGGTATACACACATGGAAAAGGGGATTAAGAAAAAGGTAGGTGAGGATAGATCTAGGCAATGACATTCAAACTACAGAGAGGGACTTGGTCCTTTCTCGAAGGTTACCAATCTTAACATTGCAGTTTGAATTATGCATGAGAACCATTGAAATTGCCACATGTCTGTCCTTCAGAAATCTGACTGTTGTTTCATCTTTTGAGTGCCAAAATGATACCTTATTTCTCTTTCTTTTATATATTCCATATTTCTTTCTATTTCCCCGAAAAAATTGAGTTGCCTTCCAAATATCAAGGTGCTTCAAAATTTTCTTTTTCTCTTCTTTTCAAACACACTTCAAATTGTTAACCCTTTTATTCTTGCTGGAGAATTCTCTGATGAAAATGTTTCAACTATGAAGAGGGATCTGGTCCTCCATGAAAAATGAAGAAGTGAAAAAGATGATGCTCAAAAAGAGGGAAGTTGATATTCTAAGAAATCAAAGTTTTCTGAAGAGGAAGGTGTAAAAAAAATTTAAAAAAAGGAAAATCTTCTTGGTTCCTCAATTGTTGATCCATTCATCTCGGAGGCCTTGAGTTGTTTGTGTTACCAATCTTTCTGTTATGAGAAACTCAGGCTGGTGTTGGAAGCTATGGCAGTTGCTCGTGTTAACTGGAATACTGAAATGGGTTGTCTAAAAGTCTAGCTTCTGTAACAATACTATCAGAGGGACCAGGTGCCAACAAAATAAAATAATAATTTAAAAAAAAGAAGAAAAATTGGCAGCCCTGAAGATTAAACATACAGGTTGGGTTGCACAACATGCTGAACGTTAAGAGAAGATTATGAAAATCTCATGCTAAGGGATATGCTTTACTAATTCTATTCTTTCAATCCCTTGCCTCTGAATCATCCCTTCTCTTCCTACCTCTCTATGTCAGTCCTCATTTCTCTTTTTGGGCATTGTTTTGGTTTTCATTTGTAATCAATTTTGCAATGCTTTGATGACTGATCTTTTGTTTATGGATGTTAAATATCTTGTTTCTACTGACTTGTCTCATTACTCTATGCCTTTTACTCATGCTCAGTGTTGCCCAAGTGGCCATGAATTTGCAAGAACTGTATTTCTATCAACTTGGTTTACTGCTTTAACCCTTTTTTATGATGTCACAAGGGGGAAAGTTGTTAAGGTACGGTATGAGATCAATAGTGTTATAACTGCTTGAAGAAGACATGGTCACATCGATAGGAGGAATCAATGGTAGATACTTGAAGAAATAGGTTATACTGATAGGGGGAATAAATGCTTGCTGCTTGCTACCTGATGAGGACCTGGTCCTGTCGATAGGCGGAAGAAGATGTTTGTCATCATCAAAAAGGGGGAAGATGATATGTTGATGTTTTGATGATTTAACAAACTTTAGGGATGATTAAACTCCAGTTACCCCAAGAATTCTTTTTGATAGGGGGAACTGATGAATAAGTATGTCATCATCAAAAAGGAGGAAAATGCTATGTTGATATTTTGATGAGTTGACAAACTTTGAGATGATGAACTCAAGTTACCATAAGAATTCTTTTTGATAGGGAGAACTGGTGAATAAGTATGTTATCATCAAAAGGGGGGAAGGAAATATTAGTTCGAAGCTGAGTTAAGAGGATAGCTCGAACTTGATATGAAGTTTTGATGATTTAACATACTTATCGATCTAACAAGGAACCAAATCCTTGTTATTGGAACTGCTGAAAA